ATATATGAACATATGTAGCAAAATTATTGCAAGATGCCTGGAAATGGTAATTGTTTCCTTCAGAGCAGTGGTGTCCCCTCTGGTGAGGTAGAAAGAGGGGGATCCTGGTAGGGAACTCTCATGGACTTTTGTCTGTTATAATGGACTATTTCTTCAGATGTTGAAATGAAGGTATCCATATGTTATAATTTGTTAATGCTCGGTGATGGCACAGCGTTTTGATAGTCTCTATAATTTTCTGACATTTTAAACATTTGAGAAGAGTGAAAAGAATGAAGAGAGGAGAAAAAAATAGTGAAGATAAAAGATTTCTTGAAGTGCACATAAAGGAATGAGGTAGATTAGTAATACTTGAAATTCTCTCTCCTTTGGACTTAGCAAAGCAAAGATGCTCAGCTATTGCAGATTTCCCCTTACACAGTGAATTTTGAAATGGTAAAGAGGTTCACCATGTGACTAGTATTTTCTATGGCCAGTGGAGCATGTTGACTATGAGGTCACTTCATCCACGTTAAGGCATGCAGGGAGTTTCGCTTTCTCTGGGACTAATGTTCGCTCCTTTAAATGGAGATCAGCTTACTGTATGGATAGTTTTAATGAGGCCGAGGGTGAAGTCCCCTGGCACTTCTGTCCCCTTTTAAGTGCAGTCCATGGATACTCATCAGGGACAAGCTGTGAAAGCCTTGGGGATTTCTCCAGGGGTTAACAATTGGCTTTAGTCTGAGGTCTCAGTGTTTGAGGCCCCTCTATATCACTCATGCGTAGATGCCCTGCCACTCTTCCTGTGCGCCCGATTCCACAAGCCTAATCTTACTCAGGCCTCAACCCCCTCCTTCTGAACCTCTCTACACAGCTGGATCTGGACTCAGCCCAGGCGATCTCAGCACTCATTTTCCCAGCAGTACTGAGGTGACTCTATGGGAAGAGATGCCCTGTGTTGAAGTTCGTAATCCCACTCAACACTCTTATCCCTGAAATATACAATAGGAACATCTCAGTTCCATGTGCATTCCAAAATCCTAAAGAACCTTTTGTTATATGTTCGTTATTATAAGGATACAGGAATACTCGGTGTCAAGTTATACCCCACCAAACATAACAGTTGATTAAAAAAATCTTGCTGGTTGGCACTCAGTGTCCTTTTGTCCAAGCCTTACGTGTCAGGCAATGTGAAAGGCATAGCCAGATGATGATATAAGAACCACTTTCTTTCTTTGTGGCAGCATTCTCTGTGGTCTCCAGTATATTTTCTTACTGGGAACCTGATTTTCTGAAAACAATGCCCATCTTAACACAGTTCAGTTCTTGAACTGTCTCTTCTTCTTCCTCAGGTAGATTTCTAGCACCTTCATTATAATTGTTAATTGTGATCAGAAGGAGCATTCCTTTGATATTATAGGAGAGGTAGGTGGGGCTTGCTGAATGGCATTTCTTTTTTTTTCTGAATGGCATTTCTTGGTCTTTAATATTTATGCCTATTATAAAATTTCAGATTCAAAGGCAGAGATAAACCATGGAGGTATTATAAGTAAGAATGAAGGATAATAGAGAGGATTGGGGAATATGGCAAACTGGAGGTGAACACCTCGTGTAAGTTGAGTGGTCACCACTCTGCTCCAACCAATTGTTACTGTTCAAAAATGTTGGCTCAGCTTGTCTGAATGCTTGGATTTTCAAGGAAAGCTAAGTATGGGAAAATTTTAAATGTGGAATTTTCCAAGTTTTAAATGTTGGCAACTAAGTAAAAAATTAAAAAAATTGTGCTTAGAGAGAGAGAGAGGTAGAGAAATAGAGATCCAAGGGCTGCTGCATATGGCCTATGGATTAGGCTTGCAGCTGTAGAATTTGGGGTTCACCCACTTGAGCCAGTGCCACCAGGCATTTATTGAATCTGATGGCAAAAGAAGAAAATTCAGAGGAGCAATAGCCACAGCAGGAGGCAAAACTACAAAACAAAGCAATCATAGCCATATCCCAGATGCCCTTAGGTATGCTTAATGACCACCTTTGCATATCTTTGGAGGGGCCACCGCATGTATAGGAAATGAAACAAGATATAGTTGTATGTTCAGGAGCTTTTCTTAATCATCACAAACTCTCTTCTATTTGTCTTGCTCACGTAGTGTCCTAGGAAAGGATACTGGGGAGAGAGCTCTTCTAGGTACCATGCTTGGCTTCCCACGGCATTCTCATACTCTTATTCTGTGGGGATAACTGTATTGTGAAAATGGCTTTTTTCCTTACTCATTGCTATCTCTTGTTTGTGAGGTTGTGTTTTATTCCTTCCTGACTGAACTCTCAAAAGTAATGTCAAAATGGAATCAGTATCTAAATACTTAGGGAATTCCTTCCTCAGACATTCTCAAACCATGCAAAGTGCTACTGTGAGAGTGATGGGTGTCACAGGCCAGAGTACAGAAAGTTAGGTGTTCAAGAGAAGAGCTGGACCAGGCTGTGCTGGACAAGAGGAGTGGCAGGGTGTGGCACCATTGGCTCCCAAGTTAGGAGAGCTGTTCATGAGGAAAGAAAAGTCTAGCCCTCTGTGTGGGGCTTACTGAAAGAACCAGACTAGCTTCTTTTCCCCTGGAGATTGTCCCTACCACCAGTGCCTTGACCTCCCTGCCATCACCCCATCCTGGATATTGATTTTCATCAAATAGGGTCATACTGCAGAGTAGTTCATCACAAGGACTTTATTTAGAGTTATAAGGAGCTGGATTCAGACTCACATATTGCCGTAACATACCCTGGGATTTCTTTGCATGATAGAGGCTCAATTTTCTCACTGGTCAAAGTGCAATTAATATGATCAATATTTTGTGGATTCTGAAGGATATGAATTAACTGTAAGCAGAGCTTGGCAGTGTCATTCAGTTATGTAGATCTTTGGCTGCCCAGGCAATCAGTGATATGTCTCATGGTGGAATTGTTGTAGAGGGGATTGCTTGAGGCTCCTTCTTAATTCTGTGCCTGTAGCATGTTTCAGTAACATTTCACCTCTTCTGAGCACTTGTGGAAGTGTGGAGAGGCTGTGGTGGAAAGATACTATGACTAGGGAGAGTTGCTCTTTTGCCTGAATTGCTCTATACCTCTGGTTTTCTATTAATAAGTCACCCATGACCTCAGTGCCAAGACATCTGTGTTTTTCAGCCCACTTTGGAGTATACAGTGCTTTTCTTACATCTGATGCTATGTAAGTACTAAGCATTTCTGTGACATAACAACTTTAAGGTGACAAATACATTGGAAGAAGGGTTGTTTGAAAATAGTACAGGAGAATTCCATGTGGTACTGGGTCTTTTACCAAAGCCATAACATAAATCACTCCATGGAGTTAGGTAATAAAATCATTATGTCAGAGAACAAAAGGAAGAAAGTAGGGACAAAAGCAAAGGTTTTTGAGAATCCAGGCAGAAAGTGGGGGTCACCAGAAGACACAGGAAAACTCTTCTTCCTGGCAGGTGCTAGAAAGCTAGGAGCTCTAGAAACCCAGAGTGGGAGTGCAGAATAGAAGCCTCAGTGTGCAGGAGCGAAGGTTAGAGCCTGCAGAACTGTCAGAAACACAGAGGTTTGAAATACTAGGACTCCTTCTGCATTACACCGCCTTAGGACCTGATCTTTCCTGCTACAGTAAACAGAAGACTTGCCCCTAATAATGTAGCCTGCTGTTGGCTCAATGGGATTGTCTGCAAAACCTCTCATCCAATACCACGGCTGCTCAGTGCCCTGTCTCCTCTGGTCTCTTTTCCTACAACTTCCCTCCTTTACTCTAGATGATCCTAGACTCTCTGGCTTACTTCTCAGGAAGCACATACTTGGATAATCCCTGAAGACTAGTCTCTGTTTTGAATCACAGAGGTCCTACAAGTCCCTTTGTGTTAGATGATTTTGGGGAAATGCTTTGACAGATAGAGAAAGAGGTTAGATTTGGGAGTCCAGGAGCCGTCTAGCAGAGGAGACCATCTTTGAAGGTGTATTTGGCTCTGTTTGGCCTCCTCTCCACCCATCTGCTCTTTCTCTCGTGCTCACCATGGTCCTGGTCTCTCCTGTCCTGCCCCCTGAAAACGCCTTTCCTTTCCTGCGCTGGGATTGTTCTGAGGAATTGTGGGGGCGGGGGCATTTTGGAGCTATGCCTCTCGTGCCATCAAGCTTCAGCTTTTAGAATCTTGGAAAGGTTCCACCTGGGAAAGAGTTCCAGAGAAAACAAATTTTAGATCCTGGCTCATATGGGAAAAGACTCATGTTCATGAAGGCAGCTTCAGGGACCTTGGCAGAGATTTAGATCAGCTTGGTTCTGGCTTTCAACAGATCTGACAGGGAGCCTCCCCAGGCTCTTGGATGCTTCAGGGTCTCTAAAGGAGAGTTCTCTCTCAGAAGCTAGAATCTCTTCTGTAGAAGTTGTGGGCCACATGTCTTCAGTGAAACAACAGCTTTGGTTGTCCAAAGCTTTATGCCCTAACAAAAGCAAAAACTTATTTCAAGATGCCACGCCCCATCTCCTCATCACCCTTGTGATATTACTTCTCTTTTGGAAATCAGCTGAATTCCTTCTATGGGAGATAGGAAGCCAGAAAGGGGGTCTAGAATCCACCAGGATCATCTCCCAAGTCATAAAAATCTTCCTTCCATGGCCAGGAATGGCATCCAGAGTGATAATAATGGGCACAGTTTTGGGATGTTCTGGCCCAGGAAAGGGATGAGGGAAAGTATGTTGCCCAAAGGATTAGGAAGAGTTCATGGTGATGACAAATATTAGTTTCCTGTCTCTAAGTTGTACTCATTCTATAATGCTACTGGGAGATATTCAGAGGATGATGAACCTAAATATTATGCATAAAATAAAACATGTTGCCCTGTAGGCAAAGCATTGTGGGGACAGGAGCTGGGAGGACTTGGATTTGTTTCCGGCATTGTGCATTTAAGAAGAGTATTTCCCCATGATTTTGCACTTGGGGCTCAATACTGACCATTAATTCCCCCATGTCTGCCTCTTCTGCCAGGGGTCTTTTCAAATATAGACAATCATGGGATATTAAACTTGAAGGACAATAGAGATCATCTAGTCCCATCAACTCACTATATATATGAGGAGCCTGAGGTCCAGAGTGGGGATGTGTCTTACCCAAGGTCACATGGTGAGTTATCTCCTTTGACATCTTTATGTGTAGTAAAGACCCCTCCCTTTACAAAATTTTGATTACTAAGACCCAAAGATTCACAGAATCTCCAAATGCCTTAGAGGACCAGGATATGATCAGGTGTCCAGTGTAAGAATAACACTCAAGTCCCTTAAGTTACTTCCAAAGGACGAAACTTCATAGGGCCTAGGCAAAAAGTACAGGAGAAGTCAGAGAGGGACTGTGACCTGGAGAGAGACAGTGCTGCCACAGACCCATGACCTTCCTTCCCTCCCTATTCTGGTCCCAGGGAGCCTCTGTCTGGGGTCAGTACAGAGAATCTATCTCATATTGAAACTTAGCTTTCCTCTAAATGTGAGGTCATAGACAAAGAATATTCCTTCTATCTTTACAAAGCTGACTTCAGCCCCTGGAGAGGGAGGGACCCTAACATCCAAAGCTAGTACCTTGCTTTTATCATAATATGTCCTGGGCAGGAAGAGGGGAAAGTGAATGCAAATGAATTGTTTCTGTCTCCTCATCCTATGTTCCCCAGTGCCCTGTGGCCAACAAGCCTGCACATAGCTTCATGAAGAGACAGGCTTGCTGTGTTCACTTGTCTGTGTGTGTGGTATGTGCATACATATGTGCACACTTAGACACACATATGCACATTCTTTAGAGTCATTGTTAAAGTTAGGAATCAGTTGAGCAATTTCTTTCTGGAGATTTGACTAAGAATACCCACACCTCACTGTGTGTCCAGAAAGAAACCGAGCTGTGGTGAAAACCTTGCTTGCTGCAACCCACGGCCCAGTGGCCACCAACACTACTTCTCCAGGATATTTCCATTCCCTGTAAGGTCTCAGCCACCATTTCTGAAACCTTCCATCAAACTAGTGATAGGCTGTGAAAGGGGTCAGTGAGAAAGAGCCTATAGGCTCAGAAATGTAGCACACCACCTCTTGGGATGCTCTAAACTGGTCCATGAAATGTCAGCTCTTAGAAATGCTACTCTAGGGTTCCTCGAGACAGGGAGTTCTGGGAAAACAGTCTCTCCTCCCTATCCTCTCATGACCCCAGTGTGCACACTCCTCCCTCCTAGTCATCGGGCTCCTTTTTCTAGAAAGACGAGGATAGACCAAGACCCCCTTAGCTGAGTCTGCTCCTACTCTTCCATGGCATTCTGAGGCCAAGCCCCCAAATGTTATGCTTATTTCCTTTCCTCAGTTCATTGGAGGCTGTGTCAAAACTGAGTATTTCCAGTTTCTTTGACCATGCTTGATTTTAAGTTACCCCCAAACCTGCAACCCTGATCCTTCCCCTGTGCTGGCAATTCATTTGGCTATTTCCAATATATTTATATATCTATATTTGTATTTCTAGTTTTTCCCCTTTTAAGCTCCCTCTCTGTTTCCCCGCCTAGTTTTGATCTTCTTTGGGGGTTTTGGTTTTTACTTTATTTTGCTTTTTTCTGTTTTTCTGTTTTTTTTCTTTTTGTTTTTTTATAGGTTTCAGAGAAATTATGTTGAATCCAATAAGCCTTCCTGGACATTCCAAGCCTCTTAACCATGGCATCTATGTTGAGGATGTCAATGTTTATTTCAGCAAAGGACGTCATGGCTTTTAAAAACTCCTTTTAAGCCTCCTTATTTTGATGTCACCTTGGTAGGCTGGGCCCTCTGAGAGGTTGGAAGCTCTAGGCATTTTCTCTTTGGATCCGGGGATGCTAAGTAGAAACTGCATGAGCCACCGGTGCCGCTGCACTTTCTAACACCACCAAGATGGGTGTTCCCCACCCACCACTGGCAGGGCTGCCCTTTCCCTCCAATCATCACTGTGCTCCTTTTTTGTCCAGCCTACGAGGCAGCTCCTGCCACCATCTTTAGAGCCAATAAAGAGAATTACAAACCTGTGCACCAGGAGCCATCTTTTAAACACACTAGCCATTCTCTTGCTTTGCAAAACAACCCAACCACCAGGAGAAAGCCTGATGAAGTCCAGCCGTGCTCAGAAGTGTGGGGTCTCCCTGGCTCTCCCTAGGATCCCGTGCTGTCCTCTTAGTGACCTCGTCGCCCTGCAAGCCTCAGTGGGGAAGAGTCAGAGAGCAAGCAGCTAAGCAGAGGTGGAGACGGCGTGGTAAGAGGAGGGGGAGCCAGGCCCAAGCATTGGCACCAGCGTAGGTCTCAGAGGAAAGAATGGAAACCGCTTTGTTTTTGTTTTTTTGGTGGAGAAAATTTACCTTTTTTTGGACACATTTGCCCTGCCTTCCTCTTCTCTCTGGAGTGGCTCACAGTGGTACCATGTTAGAGGTTCCAAGTCGGTTCCTTGGAAAGAGCATTTCTCCAGGCTCCGCCTTGGCCCCTAGAGCTGCAGTTCCGACAAGCTTTGGCTGCAGGAGGTCTTGCCTGTGAATTGGCCATCCTACTAGGACCTCAAGGGACCAAGGGAATCAGGGAACAAGGCCCTTCCTGCTAGTCCATGATCCTGGGATTGGCTCTCTTCTCCCACTTCCACTTATTCTTGACTCAGAACTTTTGGAACCCAATGGAATCACCATTTCAAGGTGAAGATGAACTGAAGGGGAAGAAAAGTAAAAATTGGCCTCCTCCAGCCCCTCTCATGGCACCAATGGAAGTGTCATCCTGTTCTCTGGTCAATTTGTGTGTTTACTTTGCTTGCTTTGACTCATGCCTTACTCCGTAGCCACCCTCTCCCAAAGAGGGGCTGTTTCCCCCACTTTCAACTTGACTTATGGGGGAGGGAAAGGGGGGATGCTGTCCCTTGCTTGATAGGAAAGGCACATTTGTGGCTGAACAGGCTTCTGGCTTGGTCCAGTTCCTTGCATACCCACAGAAGTTCCTGTTGTGAAAAGGCAGCCTCTGCTATCACTTGATAGTGAAGAACAAGGAGCAGCCCAAGGGCAGTTCTTGGGACAAAATTGCTGTTGTTATAGCCAGTGTATTTTGGCATGTGTTGCATAGCATTTGAGAGTAGATCCTATACTTTTAGCAGATTTCCCTGGGAATTAGAAATCCTATTTAAGGGTTTTCTTCCCTGGGTCCTATGGATGGTGCTTCTTCATGTCAGGTTCCCAGCCTGATCCTGCAGATGCCTCCATAGGATTTGAAAACAGGAAGCTTTCCAAGTTCTTGCTCAGTATCTGGGGTGGCCTCCCAGGCCTCTGAGTTTTTAGAGTATCACCTGGGGGTTCCGGTTTTCTCCAGGACCTCCAGGTATGTGTTAGCTCTGCCTAGTTCCCTATCCTGCTCCCCATCACCCCACACCAGGCCCTTCCCTATCACACCCAGCTGCCCCTTGATCTAAGGCCTCCTCCTGAGTGTGGCTTTAAGGAGTAAGCTTGAGGATGATGTTTTTTAATAATTGTAAATCATTACCTCATTTCCAGCCTCCCAGGCTCCATTCATCCCAGCATCTTTTATTCTGCCATTTTCTTCACCTTGTGCTATGACAATGGGGCGTTGTGTTTCCACAGAGACTTATAGGAGTGTTCAGTGTATAGTTTCTTAATAAACACTTTATTTTCTAATGAAATGACTGGATCAGACCTCTTATTTGGAATTTTTTCAAAGAATATTAAAGATAAAGAAATTCCAGGCTCCCCATATTTTTTCCTGCTTTATTATTATTCCTTTAAAGAAGTTTCTTAGTTCAGTTCTGTCTGCAAAGGTGTGTACAGTCCGTTCATTGGTTACTTTCATTGAGATGCCTCCAGACAGATCAGGCTCATACAGTGAAGTGCTTCCTCGTCTTATTGAGAAGGACATAAAGGCTCACAGAGCTTTAGAGGCAGAAGAAAAGTTCAAATCTGACTCATGGAGACATTACTAGGGCCACTGAGATTCACACTCTCTTGGTGCCTGGAGGACTTTTCTGTGATCTGAACAGCTAAGACTTGTGGACATCTTCTCTTTAGAGCTGATGTGCAAAGGGATCTGGGAGTTGGGATCAGGAAGCTAGTGGGGTTCTCCCTGGGATGGATGTTTTGTATCTTTTCTGTGGGTCTTGCTAGAGAAAGATGAGGCTCTGAGATTACAAGTCTACATGATAATTCAGAGAAACTTCACACACACACATGCACACACACACACACACGTACATGTTTCAGGCTGTCATAACAGGTCTTGCATGGGCTGCAAGAGTAGGGGCAAAAAGTGTAGGGGATCCTACTGAGAGTCTAAGGCTTAGAAAAGCTGATACATCTGTCCACCTTGGGCCCTGCACCCTGACACAGCCAAAAAGTTGAAATACTTCTGTAATTTACACTCTTCCTTTTAGAAGAAAGGTATAGTTCATTCAAAGATATGGAGCAGGAAGGATTGAGGAGGGATTCTGGGTGGGTTTGGTCACTCAGGAAGGAATGAGACAAGAGTGAGCTCACTGGGAGGTCCAACTGGGAACTGATTATGCTAGGTTGGTGCCTTTCAACCTACCTTCACTCTCTTTCTAGTTTGGAAATAGGTGCTTCTGCCCTCCAAAGTGGCTGGGGGTGGGACGTGCTCTCCATTTTTATGTCCTCAGTGGCTTGCAGGGAGTCAAGTTTGGAACATGGATGTCTGAAGGTTGGGACTGTCCTTGAGATAATGGTGTGGGAGTGCATAGTTCAAGGGGGAAAACTCATTTTTAATATGAGATTTTGTAAGCTTTGTTTTGTTCCAATGCATAGAGTCTGCTGATGCAAGGCAGAATCTCTAATGGGTAGAATAAATAGCCCCTGAGAAGATGGGAGGGAAAATCATTCCTAGCTCAGGAGAAGGGATCGGCATTATCTAAGTGGAGGGAGAAGTATTCCGATGTAGCACCAGCAAAAGGAAATGATGGGTGCAGGGCGTCTTTGAGAGGTTATTAGGTAAGAAAGTGAGGTCAACCAGTCCAGAAAAGATGCCAGCTTGACTACATCAGCCGGCTACATCAGCACTAGAAATATATTATGTCTAACATAAGAAACAGCTACACAAGCCAGGCACATCCTACCCTCAAGAGAGCTGAGGCCCTGAAAGATTCGGTAATGAGGTTGGGCTTTTCTAGTTGTGATTGGCAACACCAGGATGGACCCTGGGCTCTGCATGCCTATGTCGTTCTTCTGCTTTATACAGCAGTCCCTCTCTCTCCTACAGGACTGCATAGTCCTACCCCTACCCTCCAGCCCCAGACAGAAAGAGAAGTCTTTCAGGGTCTTCTGGGATAAGGCCATACTTTCTCCTGGAACCACTGAGATGCATGGTTTTAAAGACTTTCTAGGAAAGAACAACCGTGGTATTCTCTTCTAATTCATTCTAGCATTTAGTGATCCTGAATTCCTGGAGGCGTGGTTGGCCTTAGATCTAAAGTCCACCACCTGGCCTGTAGTAGGAGAGATTTTCTAACAGTGATGGCATCTTTGGCCTTGGGGGGAACCTGTTGGTTGAGACAGTCTGATCATGAGGATAATAGGTTCAGCTTCCCCAGTCTGGGCAAGTATGAGCAATCTCAGACAGGAAGGTAGTGGAAAAAGATCCTCACCTGACCTCCCACCCCTATTTAACCTTTCTTCATGACACCTCAGAGACCTCCTGGTGTGTCAGAGCTGAGCCAGGTGATTCTCACCCAAGCAAAGATGAATGGTAAGCAGGTTCAGTTTGGAAGTCAGCAAGCTGGCCTCTAGCCTCCCAATCCCTCCCCTCTCATGCGGGAGTTCTTTCTACAGCCAAGTTCTCAGCAGCCACATGCTCACCTCCACCTCCTCAGCCACGAGTATGACCAACAGCAGCACAATGTGAGCTGTGACACTTTGCCCGCTCAGCTAAGCTCCCTCAGGTCAAGGCTGGCTTAAGCAAAGGATCTAGCATCTCAGACACAATAGTGAGGCGTCCAGGGAGGGTTTGCTGCTGTAGAGAAGGCACAGGGGCAAGCTGATCAATGCAGGACAAACTCATTGTTGTGTAGCTTTCTGAGCTGAGCCAAGCAGGGATTAGGCAAAGAACTGGAGCCTTCTGCTTCAGTGTTTGCTGACTCCGGTGGGCAAGGCTACATGTGCACATTGTTGCTAGCATGATTCTGAAAGCATGAATGAAATCAGGGCAGCAGGGAGGGTGTGGGAGGGAGAGGATAGGGTGGGGTGATACTGGCTACGCCAGGGCTTCTCTGGGAAAGACCAAGGGAGAATTCCAGCATGAGAGCAGAGGGCTGAGGAGGTAGGACACCACGGCGAGCCTGACTAGATTCTGAATTGTCCAGCAAAGGCCTGTCCTGGCTCTGTCTACCCCATCCCCACCCATTTATCACTGGTCAACGTGGGCACAGACAGATCTGGTTCTTTATTTGGCCCCTAGAAATCCTACTGTCAGTACTACTTGCATCTTTCACTTTCCAGAAGAACCTCAGCCTAGGTCTGACAATATATTTTCCAAGATAAAAAAGACTCCTCCTTCAACACACTTGAACTCACAAGTAAGTTGTAGAAGAAGTGGCAGCAAAAGATAAGGTCACTTATCTGCCTTCTAGGGTGATACTGAAATTACATCAGATTTCTGAGATCCATTTGGGTAGGACGTTAGTCCCAGTTCTTCCAACTCAGTGGATGAAATGTCGGTAGAGTGACCTACCTGACTCCCTTTCACTTAGAGCTTGGCTTATCCAGAGAGGAGGTTTCTGCATGGGTGACAAGGTCAAAGACTTCTCTGAAGTTTTGACTCTACATGTGACATTTTTCTATCACAAAATGCCTGTGTGCCTGAGAAGTTTTGATCTTCCTTTCTTCTGCCCTCAGCCTCCCAATATTCTGGGTGCTCTGGGTTGAGGAACAGTGAGAATGGAGAGGATGAAGGAGATATTTGGGCTGAAGCTTTTGCTTAGCTCTTGTAAGAAAAGGAAACAAGATAGGCAGGAGGATTTTGGTGGAGCACAGATTCTGTGGGGCCATACAGGAAGCTGATGGCTCAGATTTTGTGTTGGAGGCCTCTAGTCCAGCTCTGGGTGGGTCTTATTTGTGAAGGAACTCTTTGAGGTAGAAAAGAAGGTACCAGTACTCAAAAGAGCAGCCTGAGATGTAGAGAGATAACAGCTGAGGGTTCTTGTGGCATTTTCATGCCTACAAAACAGAGGGGTGTCTGTATTTCCTTCTGGGCTTCTCAGGATCCATGTTTCTTAAGATTCTCTGTCAAAAGGAACCTCTTGAGATCTCTCTGATGTAGGTGAGCTTGACTTTGATTTGGCTAAGGGTACAGAGAGATTTATGTAGCATAGATAAGAAGAGCAGAGCTTGGCTTTTCTGAGGGCACCGGACAGCTCTCAGTTCACCTCCTGAAAGAAAAGTCAAGTCATGAGTTTAGAGAAGGAGTGGTCAGAGCTTGCTTCTTAGGTATGAAGAGAGTTTTAAGGGCAAGGAGTAAGGACTGCTGATCCTGACTTGTGGCTTCATCAAAGTTTGAGGGACAGAGCATCATGTCAGTTTGGAAAATACCACCAATTCTGACTGTGGTAAGTAATGCCAGATGCCTCAGTGGCCAACAATGACAACCAGCTCTCTTTCTTCCTTTCTGCTGCCTGCTTGTTGTTACCATGGTAGCATAAATGGAGCCTGCTTCTACCTTTGGGGACCTTACTGGAGAAAGTGGCCTATTTCCCTTCAAAAGACACATTCTGTCTTTGCCCTTGACCCCAAGTTTATTCTACAGTGACAAAGACAAGGACCTAGCCCGGTAAATGGTAAAGTAACTTTACTGCTGTTAGATATGCCCCACTGATACTTCTTTTGCAGAGTTCTGAAGTACCACCTGCTTTCTTACTCTGAAGCTCACAGTAGCTTCTTTCTGCTTGGGCCCTTGTGTTGTGTTATAATGTTCTTTACTCTGAAAAGCTTACAGTGGCTTTTGGCTAAAAATCACAAAATCCTGACCACTGGGGAAAGAGAGGGAGTGGGGCTAGGGAAAGGGGCCACATGTGCTCTTAGAGGGATGACATGGATCTTACATGCTCCACAGGCCTCAGGAAACATTTCCTTCATAGCCAGGTTCTTGAAGGTATTAGCAGCACAAGACATGGAGTGTCCTTGAGTTTGAAGCTGAAGGAATTTAGCCTGTGTGACGGGAGACTCCTGAACCTACAGCAGAAGCTCTCACAAATCTAGTCTTTCTCACAGTGGTCAGACAGGTCATCTCCAAAATCTACTCTCCTGTTGCCCACATCCAAGCAAGACCAAACTCTATGCCTTCATATCTGTGTTCCATGGGCCAACCAACATAAGTGCCTCTCATGGGGTTGTCCTACAATCTTAGGAAGAAAATTCCAAAATACAGGCTTGATGCTTACTAAGTCCACCCTATGCATTCCGTATATATCAAAGTATCAGTATTCTCTTGCCGTTTAGAGAGAATGAGATTTAGTTTCAAAGCAATTTTTGTCATGGATACTGTCTCTGAAAACGGAACCTTGCCAAGAGGACATAGTTAGAATGCAGGATGCTCCCACGTGAGGGCCACAGCTCTGCACCCAGGCCTTTTACTTTCGAGGGAGCCAGAT